GCTCAGAGCTGGGGGGGCCGCGGGGTGGGTGTCCCTCACTCGGGCTCCGCCTAGGCTCAGCTGGTCTGACCCCAGGCTCAGAGCTGGGGGGGCCGTGGGGTGGGTGTCCCTCACTCGGGCTCCACCTAGGCTCAGCTGGCCTGACCCCAGGCCCAGAGCTGGGGGGGCCGCGGGGTGGGTGTCCCTCACTCGGGCTCCGCCTAGGCTCAGCTCTCCTGACCCCATGCCCAGAGCTGGGGGGGCCACGGGGTGGGTGTCCCTCACTCGGACTCTGCCTAGGCTCAGCTGGTCTGACCCCAGGCTCAGAGCTGGGGGGGCCGCGGGGTGGGTGTACCTCACTCGGGCTCCGCCTAGGCTCAGCTGGCCTGACCCCAGGCTCAGAGCTGGTGGGGCCGTGGGGTGGGTGTCCCTCACTCAGCCTCCACCTAGGCTCAGCTGGTCTGACCCCAGGCCCAGAGCCGGGGGGGGGGCCGTGGGGTGGGTGTCCCTCACTCGGGCTCTGCCTAGGCTCAGCTCTCCTGACCCCATGCCCAGAGCTGGGGGGGCCGTGGGGTGGGTGTCCCTCACTCGGGTTCCGCCTAGGCTCAGCTGGCCCGACCCCGGGCCCAGAGCTGGGGGTGGGGAGGGGCAGAACGGGGCCCCAGGCGTGGCCCTGCCCCTGCAGGTGGCCTCTTGTGGCCGTCCATGGGCAGCCAGGGGACTCAGGGCCACAGGTGGTCCAACCAGGAGGAAGCAAAGTGCCTTGGGAGGAACTCCGGCGGGACAGACCAAAACAGAGGGCATTTTAGGGTTGGCCTGCAGTCTAGGGTTGGCCTGCAGCCTGGGGTCTATACCCCGACCCTGTCTCAGCACACACACCCCAGAGGCAGGGGGGCCTGGAGGCCAGAGCAGGGGATTGGTGGTTAGAGGTCAGGCAGTGGGCCGGGGCCTGGGCAGCTATGGTCTCCTGTCCCCCTGCCCTGAAGCCCCAGGCAGGTGGGGGTGGCAGGGGGTGTCTTTGTGGGGAAGGGCTCAGAGCCAGCACTTGGCCTGATTGCCGGGGTCAAGCGGGAAGCTCCAGAAAAGGCTCAGGAAATGGAGCTGGGGTCTGCAGGCTACTGCAGGGTGGGCCTGGGTCACTGGGGGGGCACCTCCTCGGGGTCCACAGGGCCCAATACAAGCACGAGCCAGAATGCATCAGGGGGTCCTCCTCCTGATCCCTTTGCCTCCCCACCCAGTTCTGGGAGCTGAAGGCGGCCTGGGCCACGGCCTAGTTCCCTGGGAAGGGCCTGGGGCCCCCTGGACAGGCCTAAGGACAAGGAGCCAGCCCATGGCTGCTGGACCCAGCACTTTGGATTGTCATGAGGGTGGCCAGTGCTCTATGGCTCCCCAGGTTTTCCAGCAAATTCCCTAGGAACAGGCCTGACCCTGAACCCCAGCACCTGGCACGGGATGGGGTAGTGGGTTCTGGGGCTCAAACTGCAGGCAGCCAGGGCTGCTTAACGCTCTGCCATGCTCCGCACCCCTGTCCTTAGAGCAGCTGAAGCCCCCGCCCAGGGAGGAGGGCCGTGCCCTGCCCAGGTCTCACCCGTCCCCAGCCCTGCTCAGAATCGGCCCTGCTCAGAATCGGCCCTAGCGGGTCCCATCATCACCCCCCCCCAGCATGCTGTGTCCCACCTGCCCCATCACATGGCAGGTGACCCAGAGACGGGAATGGCACTAAGGTGAGGGTGGCCTCACGGGGCTAGCTACTCTAGATCTCAGGGAGACACAGGCCACCCACGGGGCCCAGGCAGAACAGGACTGGTCCAGCCCACCGCCTCAGTGAGGCTCAGCCCACCCACCTAGCCAGTCTACCCACCTGGCCCAGTCCATCCAGCTCAGCCCAGCCCACCCAGCTCAGCCCAGCCCACCCAGCTCAGCCCAGCCCACCCAGCTCAGCCCAGCCCAGCCAGCTCAGTCCAGCCCACCCAGCTCAGCCCAGCCCACCCAGCTCAGCCCAGCCCACCCAGCTCAGCCCAGCCCACCCAGCTCAGCCCAGCCCAGCCAGCTCAGCCCAGCCCAGCCAGCTCAGTCCAGCCCACCCAGCTCAGACCAGTTCACCCAGCTCAGCCCAGCCCAGCCAGCTCAGTCCAGCCCACCCAGCTCAGACCAGTTCACCCAGCTCAGCCCAGCCCAGGCCTCCCAGCTCAACCCAGGCCTCCCAGCTCAGCCCAGTCCACCCAGCTCAGCCCAGGCCAACAAAATAAAGCACAGCTCAGACCAGCCCAGTGCAGCGTAGCCAAGCCCAGCTCAACTCAACGCTACATGAATGGCCCAGCCCAGCCCAGATCATCTCAGCTCAGCTCAACCCCGGACAAAAAGCAAAGATAGTCCACCTCAGGCCCACCCTGCCTGGTCAGCCCAGTGCAGCCCGGCCCAGCCCAGCCCTGCTCAGCCCAACCCCACACAGCTGTGCCCCTCCCCAGTGGAGCCCAGACCAGCCAGCGACCAGCTTGGCCGGGGGTGGTGCCAAGTGCAGACCCAGCCAGGCCTCCCGGGAGCATGTACCTCTGACCGTGCTGGGCCATCTCGATGGCTCTTCGAGCGGGCACCGGGGAGCCGCCGTCCGTCACGCTGAGCACCTCCATGGACTTCCGCTCCGGCCGCCGCTTGCCATGCCGGTTCAACATGGGGGAGTCCACACGCTTCCGGGGGGGGTCTGTGCATAGATGGGGGTCAGGCCGCACCCTCAGCCTGCGCAGCCCAGCTCTGGGTGGAGGCGATGGGCCAGCCACGGGCTGCCCTTGGATCTCGTACCTATCTCGTTCCTGGGGGGCAGGTCCTCATCCTCGTGGCTTGGGTACCGCTCCTTCCGGTCCAGGAGAAGGAAGTAGATCATCTTTTCCTGGTTCTCTCTGCAGCCAAGGGAGTGTTGCCAAGGAGGAGGGTGTGGTTACGGGGGGCTCCACTCCTGGACAGTGGCCCCTGGCTCCCCTGGGCCCTCCCAGACTCTTCCTCCTGACTCTGGAGGCTCAGGAGGCTCAGCCCTGGCTGCAGAGGCTGCAGCTTGGGCCCCTTGCTCCCACTCTTCGGTCAGGCCATCATTGGACACATGCCTCGGACAGCAGGTCCTGCCCCCCAGCCCGCCTGGCCTGCCCTGACCCCGTGCCTGCAGCCACACTCCCCGACAGCAGGTCCTGCCCACCCCCAGCCCG